TCTGCGACCTATCCTGGACCTGTGAGACTTGAGCCACTTCCTAGTGAAGCTCCTGGCCTCTATCGTCCCCTCCCTGGATCTGGGAGACTGGTACGCCGCCTTCAATTTGAAGGACGTGTGCTTTCACATCATCTCAACTGCAACTGGTGCTGTTCCTCCTGCACGACCAGCACAGAATGTCTCCCCACATGTGTAACCAGGTTATATTAAAAAAAGAAAAGAAAATGTGTATGTATAATATTTGAATGTAAGCACGTACTCTCTTTTTGCTTTGTTTCCCAGTGGCAGAGATGTAACTGCAGGGAGTATGTGATCTAGCATTTTAGTGGCAGGAAGAATGTAATTTTAATCCAAGAGAGCAAGGGAACATTGTGGTCATCTAAGCGCTTTTTTTCCCTTTTCTCAATTATGGCACATCAAAGCCATTTCTTATCGCTCCCTGCCTCAAGGAGATAACATTTTACCTTCTCTGACATTTATCAAAGTTCTCGTCTCCCATTAAAATTCCTAAGTGGTACAGAATCTGATTAATTTCCAAGGGATCATGGAGTTTAAGGATTGTAACAGAGTGTACGTAATGCCACAGATCAGATTCTAACCTCAATTACATTGTTGTAGATCCAGAGTAACTCTATTGCAGTCAGTTTAGAATCTGGACCCAGGTATCTGAAATAATTAACACAGGAACATATAGTTCAGTGCAGCTGGTAGCACTGTGAAAACTAATAGCTAAAGGGAAAGCTAGACGGGTATCTTCATATTGAGTCACCAGTGAAGATTTGAACAATGTAGGAACATTATAAAGTTTAACTGAATCTGAAATGCTTGTAGTGATGGATTTGAGCATTGGGTCAATTCAGGGGATTAGTTGCTCCTATTTTTGCCCCAGGGTTCCTGTTAAAATCTACCCCAGAGCGAACTTTAGAAATGTTTTGTTATTAGAGTTAATTGGACTCTGCGCTTGAGCTACTGCAATCTATGACTAAAACATCTCCATTTCTTAAGGAGTCCGTGGTTCCCTCTATTGCCTGGTATGAAGGTGTGCGGACTGCAGAAGATATGGAGACAAGTGGTGGTAGGGTTACCATACATCCGGATTTTCCCGGACATGTCCGGCTTTTTGGTCCTCAAATCCCCGTCCAGGGGGTATTGCCAAAAAGCTGAACACGTCCGGGAAAATGCTTTGCCGGCATCCCTGTCCCCAGGGCCGGCTCCAGGCACCAGCTGAGCAAGCTGGTGCTTGGGACGGCAGACTGTTCGAGGCGGCATTCTGCCCAATCCTAGGGCGGCACGGCTGCTTTTTGTTGTTGTTGTTGTTCTTGTTCCGCTCCGGCCGCCCTGTAGGGGGCGGTGGCACGGAGAACCAGAGCGCCCTGCAGGGCAGTCCTCTTCCTTCCCTCCCCGCCGACCGGAGCGGAGCCCTCGCGGCAGGCAGTAGGAGGCGGCGCAGCGGGGGGGGCCGCGTGGCAGCGCCCCTGCTGTAGCTCTGGCTGCCCCCTTCTTTCTCTCTCCCGCCCACTCCCTTCCCCTCCCATCCCCCCAGCCGGTCCCCCTGCACCCATGCTCCGGCCGTGCCGCAGGTTTTTTTTTTTTGCTTTGCCATTCTGGCCGCCCTGGTTTATTATTTTTTTTGCTTGGGGCGGCCAAAAAGCCAGAGCCGGCCCTGCCTGTCCCCCGCTTACCTTAGAGCGGCTCCGGCGATGGCGGCTGCTGCAGCTCCCCCCAGACACCTCAGCTCTGTGTAGCTGAAGAGCCGAGCTGCCCGAGCGCTACCGGCTTCACGGTTTGCTGGGCAGCCCCCAGACCTCCAGACCCTGCGCCCCTGGCTGGGCGCTTCCCCTCCCGGGCTCCGGCTGCGCTGGGGAAGCGCCTGGCCGGGGGCGCAGGGTCTGGGGGCTGCCCGGCAAACCGTGAAGCCGGTAGTACTCGGGCAGCTGTTTCGCGTGGCTGGGAGGGAGGAGGAGGGGAATACGGGGGCTCAGGGGAGGGGGCGGAGCTGGGGCGGGGACTCTGGGGAAGGGGTTGGAATGGGGGTGGAGTTGGGCCAGGGAAGGGGCGGAGTTGGGGGGGCGGGGCCCCGTGGTGTGTCCTCTTTTTTAAATGTTTTAATATGGTAACCCTAAGTGGTGGTGACATGCAAAACACCCCCTTCTCTCCCCCACCCGCCTTTTCCCCCTGTGCCTGTGTCTATGCCAGCAAACTTCATAGCAGCTGCATTAGTGGTGGTAACAGCCAAAGCTGTATTATAGGCAGAGTTCAGACTTTGATGGTGAAAAAGCATGAGCCCTGTCCGCACTACAGCTTCTGACGTGTCCACTGCCCATGTCTAAGTCTGCCAGGCTACTGTAGACAGGACCCCTAGGGCTGACCTCTGCTTGGCTTGGAAATCAGGGGAGAAGTAAGGGGAAGAGCTACTCCTTATGGAGTCAGTGCCTCTACAAGGAGCCGCATATTAACTTCTGAAGAGCCGCATGTGGGTCCAGAGCCACAGGTTGGCCACTCCTGCTCTAAGTTTTTTCAGTTTAAAAAAAAAGGAAAAGAGGAGGAGGCATAACGAAGACCTTTTTCTGCATTCCTTCCTGCTAGAGGATAATAGCCCCCCACGCAGGGGCATGCCTGGTTCTCCCTGCTCCAGGAGGTGCCTCTCCCGCAAGGAGTCGATTCCTGTAAGGTCAGATACTCTCACTGGGTCTGGTGCCTGGGAGAGCCTCATAGAGGTGCTTCACCTGCCACAGCTAAATCAGCAGTCTGCAGGAACTGGGAGCGGAAGTTAAAACTCCTCCTTAAAAAATATTTTGGGATGGAAAAATAATTCCTGCCTTAACACTTGCAGCTTAATATTTCAGCTTCGGAGGGAAAAGTGAGATTTCCCAATACTACATTTTCTAAGACCCTTGCTGTGTAGAACACTTTCCCTGCAACCACTCCATTCCAACTGAGTTGTATGGAGGAGAAACCAAGTTTAGTCTGCAGAACAGCTCCTTGTCTGTGTAAGCTCGAAAGAGAGTCTCTTTCACCGACAGAAGTTGGTCCAATAAAAGACATTACTTCCCCCATCTTGTCTCTCCAATATCGTGGGACCAACAAGGCTCCAGCAACACTGCAAACTGCTGATTCCAGATGCTTTTTAATTTCAGCAGAGAAAAGGAATGGAGTGAGGCAACCATCCAAAGACTGCTCTACTTCTCCTTCTGTCTCTAATTAGTCTCAAGGCCCAAGGGCAAAGAGCGTAACAGCTGGTAGAAAGAGCAGAGAGTATGAGTTTTAAATTGTGAGGATGGGGGATTTCTGTGGCTATGAGAGTGGCATACTTTTGACTATAGTACCATCACTGCATTTTCCACATGATCCTTTGATTGCAGCAAGTGATAGTTCTAGGTGAGTAAAATCCATTGAGCTAAATTTTCAAAAGTGACTAGCGATTTAGGGTGCCCAACTTGAGAAATCAGTAAAGGGGTCTGATTTTCAGAAATGCTCAGACCCATTAAGTTGTCTTAGTCTGGGCACCCAAAAAATAGAGGCATCCAAAATCACTAATCAGTTTTGAGAATTTAAGACAGTTTCAACTCTCTAATGGCTCCTACTTGAAGCTGCCTGGAAAAAACAACTGGAGATTTGGGGAACTACAGTGCTTGTGTAACACCAACAGACGTCGGTAGGTGGGATTGAACCTGGGACCTCTGGAGCTAAATGGCTATTAGCTAAGGCTGTAGAGCAGACTCCTTAATCTTGCTCTCTAAGTGGTCTCGGTGCCACTTGATGAGACAGAACACCACACCCAGGAGGTGTGTGGGTTACATACTTGCCTTATGCACGGGTGGCGTATGTGTGCATTCGGTGCAAGGAGCTCCTGGCCCTCAGAGACTGTGTACGGGCTTTGGAGACCAGGGTGTACTCTCTCTCTCTCTCTCTCTCTCTGTGCCACTAGATGGGACAGAACACCACACCTAGGAGGTGTGTGGGTTACACTTGCACCTCAGAGCTAATTATTTTTATTTTGTGTTGTGATGGTTTGAATCTGGAGGGGGACAGATTTTAGATTTGCAGATTGTACTATTTTGCATGTATACAGCATGTTTCATCTAAGACTCTCAAAGCACTTTACAAACATGAATTAATTCAGCCTCAAAACACCGACTGTCCTTTAGATAAATATTATGAACCCATGTTACAGATAGTTTTTCTGTGATTCAGTTTCTTTAAGTGACTTGCCAAAGGTCACAGGAAATCTGTGGTAAAGATGGGAATCGATCCCAGGCCCCTGAATGCCTTAGCCACAAAGTGATCCTTCCGGATTATTATTTAGTATTGCATCATGTTGGTTGGAGCAAACAAACACTGGACCAGATCCCACTTTATTATATGTCCCAATAAACTCCAGTCATATCAAAGAAAAAGGTGGAGTGGGTTGTTGGTTTTTTTTGAGTAAGCAGATTGACCATGAGGGGAATTGAATGACACAAGTTCCTGACAGCTCTAGTTATTTAATACCTGAAACCTCTCATGCCCTCCCTCTCCATTCCCACTGCTAATACCCTGCTCCTGCCAAATGTTCTCTTATCAGTACTACACATTCCTCCTTTCTTATCTCCCTTCAAATCCATCTGCACCCTGCCACTAAATCAACTTCTTGCCCGTGCTGAATATACTACCCCACCGCCTTGAATACCTGACCTGGATTTCAGGCATCAAGCTTCTCATCTTCACCATTTCAGGATGGAAACAAATTTTAAAATATCTGAATTTAAAGAAAGCATTTTTTCATGGAATTCTCTGGGGGAAAAAATGTTTTTTTGGACAGTGCTGACAGATAAACTTTCAGTTTCATGAATCCTAAATGTTTCCTTTCAAAAATTCTCTCTTCCATCATCAGCTCAACAAGGAGGGCAGGAAGGTGAAGGACACTGTGAATGTGCATGGAGGGGAAAGTGGAGGGCAGGACCAGGATGAGCTGGTATGTGACAGCGGGGGATGGTGGAGGATAGGTGGGAGGGGAACTCTGGAGAGTGCATGTGCATGGAAATGTAGGGAGCAGTGTGGCAGGATGAGTGTTAACAGAATTATGGAATTTTTTATGTGGTGAACAGTGTTTGACAATTAATGCAACTGGTTAATAGTGTGGGGGAAATATCTGACAATGGACGGAGTAACGAGTGAGTATCATTCCGACTGCTCTGCTAGCAAACAGAGTACGCTTTTGGCACATAGGGGAGCTATGCTGATTTACACCAGCTGAAGATCTGGCCTACCGTCTTTTTTTTTTTTTGAGCTCACAGCTACATCTTTTGCTTGATTTCAGTTCTACGGAAATCAGGTTTCAGCAACAGTGCTGAGGGCCAAGTCATATCTGAGCCTGCACAGGTGTGCTTCTGGGATGAGGATTAGGGTAATTGTTTGTATTTACATGTTACTAGGCTATTTTTAGGAACTGGCCTCTTTATTTTGTAGTTTGGGGCATCATCTGCGTAACAGTCTCCTGCTTCTGTTAATGTTCATGCTGAGATTTCTCCTCTCGCTGCTTACAAGATGTCTGCTAAGGTATGAGCAGGCAATGTCACAAAATTACATCCAAATATAAGCCTGATTTCTGCAGCCCTTAGTCCTGTTGTGTAGTACCTTACTTCTTGAATTCATTTCAGTGGGACTACTCGATGAATAAGGTACTACTCAGTGTAAGGATGGCAGAATCTGGCCCTCTGCTGTCAGCTTCTGATCAGCTTTTCAATGGACCATCCAAACTGGTGATTCCTTTTATTCATATTTCCTGGAGCCCATTGACTGCAGTACAGAACACCATAAAGTGTTTGGATGTCACAGGGAGATAATTGTTAAAGGATTTGCTTTCCCATTTTGCAGCTAGAATATTTTGCTATTGTTTCCAGACATCAAGTTGAGACCTTTTATTTAACAAGAAATCCTTGAGAAACACTTTTACTTTTTCATCGTACCCCTCCTCTGTTTCTTTGTACGTACTTACCATGTGGGCAGACCCCAGCAGCCTGCATTTTTATCAATAATCTGATGATTGAACACATCAGCCCACTTTTAAGATCCCAACACTGTCACCCCATCAAATCCTGTATTCACTTCAGTATTTTGCTACCTAACCTTAAGGTCAATTCATGGTTATGGCTGTCTGGGTCTGAGGCTATATTCAGTGCCAACCATTGAGGAAAAAATTGACAGATCACATTGTTGATATAAGCTACAATTTAAACCATGAAGGAGGAAAGAGCTTTTAATTATGTGGCAGCTTACTTCCCATTTGTATTCTTTGTGCCCAGGCGGTAACAGCTTACCTATCTGCCAATCTATCCATTTTCAGTAGCACTTGTCATTGGCTAGCAAAACTAACTGTAGTCATGTGTCTGTTGTTCCTTCTGATGGTTTTAAAAATGTTTATGGCTAAATTCTGCCTTGACTCATACCCTCATTAACTTTAGTTAATGCATAGTATGGAAATGAAGGCGGGATTTTCTGCTTACTGTTTTAGGGATTGACTTAGTTTCCATTGCAGGTAAAGGGATTTTAGCCATTGACTCCAATGGGAGTAGGATTGAGTCCCTAAGATCTAGTCCAGCAAACGCTTAACTTTAAGCATGTGAGCAGCCCCAGGTACAAGTTAAACACATATGGAAGTGTTTGCAGGACTGGGGCCTTAATCATCTTTTAGTATGAAGTGCCCAGTGACACACTTATAAAGGATACTATATGTGAGTTGATGATTTTGTTGTTGTGGTATTTTTTAAAATGTGGTTTTTGGGGGAAAAAATCCAGGCTAACTGTATAATTATCATCCAACCTTCCCGTAGCATCAGTGGCTGGTTTCAGTGCATAGTCCTGGTAGTATCAGGTGTATAGGCATTATTTTCAGTAATTATAGTTCTAAAGGTATTGGAGTAATAGTATTATTTACGCCCAGAGATGTAATACTTTGCTATTACATGTGCAATGAAAATATCTCCCTTGATTTCAGCTGGGGAAAAGAATGATCACAATCAAACAAAAAGTGGATTGCATTCGCTGTTCTATGTATGAATATGCATGCACAGCTGTGTAGGTGGTGGAATCCAAATCCACCTCTTTGAAAAGATTGCTTTCAGTGCATGGGTGAATTAGCTTCTTTTGATAGATTGAATGATATATTTTTGAGAGAAATGGAAGAAAATTCTGGAAATAAAGAACAATTTACAAAGGGGGATATTTAAATTAACATGTAATTGCACAAGTAGGACTATAGATTCCAGACACCAATTCTTCCCCTCTTTCTTTATTTTGCTTTTCTTTTCTCTCCAGTGCTTCTTAGTTGGAATAAATTTCTTATATTTATGTATAAATGAAGATTGCAAAGAGTTCCTTTGATTTGTAGGAAATTTTTCCAGTGTGTTTTTGCTTTTGCTTTTTGTCATTTTGTGTGTGTGTGTGTGTATGTGTTATATGTACATATGTTGAAATTTTTAGTAAGCAATTAGCCCAATTCTATGCTCATTCAAAACTCCAGCTGAAATTAATGAAAGTTTTAGATGCACAAGATATGCAAGATTGGACTTAATATTACATTAGAAGTATTGTTGGTGTTTAATCACAAAGATGCTGATGGTTCTGTTGTTTGGAAGGCTTGATATTAATGATGGGTGAAACTGGATAAAGATTTGGAACTTGATTCAGAAAAGCACTCAAGAACTTTATCTGCCAAGATTCATTCCTTCGGTAACCCATTGATGTTGAAGATATACTAGGAATTAATTAGCCCCAGATGGTTAGCTGAACTATCTGAACTTCTTGGATCTACAGAAATGGCCTGGAAATCTTCTGAAAACAAGCTTTCATGTGAGATTTTTCTGGATCTTCCGGCTTCTGGTCTTGGCCAGAAATTACACAAGACAAGCCCTTCTTGCAGCATTCAGCTGGAACCATAGGGGCACAATCATGTTACAGTGATTAGTGTTGGTGAGGGGGGGGGGGATAAGGGAAAAAAGGAGTTAATCAAACTTAAAAAAGAAAAACTTTGTTTAATCTTAAATCCAAGTTTAGTTCAGATTCGGTTTGAGTTGTGGGCTGAGGTTTCTAAGATATTTCCTGTTTAATTCTTATCTGACATATTATTTATTTCTATTACGTGCAACCCCCCCCCCCCCCCCAGCTTTCATACAAGTTTAGAACTGAGAAATCAAGCAGTCCAAAGGCAGGAAATGTAGAATTAGGGAACCAAATTCTGCTTGTGTAAATCTGGAGTGCAGCAGTGAAATTCAGAGCAGAATTTGGCACAAGGTCTCTAGGCTAAATTGATTAGTGATGCAAATCATTGTGTCAAGTAGCATTTTGAGTGCGAGTTAGAAAAAAAGACCTCTGTGCCAAAGTAGTTCAAGATGTGCCAATCTGAAACTTGAGCAGAAGGAGTCTATGTCCTATAGTCACTCAGCAGGGTTGGTAAGGAAGGGGTGGAGGGCGTGGCTGGAAAAGGCAGGGTGGCCAATCCAGGAGCTTGTCAAGGGGCAAGATCTGTTAAAGCAACCTAGTGGTGGCATAAACAGTCACTAAGTGACTAATGGGGAAGTGTAAAATAAGGCCGCCTCAGCTCCTTGCTTTAAGTTACACTCCCACCATGATGGGCATTCTTATCAGAGCTGGGCAAAAATGTTCTAGAAGAAAAGCTTTGTTTTCAATGGTGCAACATTTTTCAGAATCCAGAAGGAAATTTTTCAAAATTGAGATTGGTCACACAAGTCTCACAGTAATAAGTCACAAGTTGCACAAGTCACACTCTGGTTTCCTGTTTGGCAGAGCCTAACCTATGTGATGACGAGAGGCAGCACAAGCACTTCTGACTAATTTTCTCTATTTTGGGAGGTTTTGCCCTTTATTTTGCTATGCAGAGCTTCTAAGACCATCAGGAGCTGGCTGCATCTGATGTCTCCACTCTGCTAGTCTTGTCTGACAGAAAGCTTTCTGTCATCTTCCTGACTTGCTGCCAAGGGTAACCTTATCTCTGAGATAGTTGATATAGTTCTTTGCATGGAGTTTTCTCCGTTTTTGAAAAATAGTGAAAGGAGAAGGAAATGAAAGGGTACACATGAATAGAAAAAAAGAAATAACATGGGAGGCCCAACTGACTGCTGGCAAACATCAATGGAGTTGTTTCATTTGAAAGAGTGGTAAAATTTGGCGCAGAGAACAAATATATAGGGACGTGGGCCCTCGTTCAAAGTCTTGTATGCGTGCATGTACAAACAAGAATAAACATGTGTGTGTAGTTTGTATTTGGATACCAGAACATCTCTTATTTGAGCTTCTAATTATAGAGAGGTGAATCAACATTGCAATGTTAGTGAGGGTGTATTTATGCATGAATTCTATCTCTGGGGAGGGTCTAATCATGTTGCACTGCTACAGAGTTGCACAGTGGAATTTAATACTGTGATCCAAGAACTCCTGAATGCCCACTGGCAAGAACATTATGGGATTGTCCTGATTCTGGGTCATCAAATAATGTATAGTGAGGTCTTAAATGAAAGCTGGGGTCATGCTGGTCATTAATATCATTGTGAAATGTATGTACCAATATTATGTAAGGAGTTATGTGTATATACATTGAAAATATGTGCTTGGAGTCTGTATCAAGGTATGACTCACCAGCAGAGGAGAAAAAAGAGGTTTTCTGTCAGACGAGAGGTGTATTCACCTCTCTGACTATCTAGACGTAAATTAAGCATTGTAAGCTAGCACAAAGGGTGCCCATGTACATATGAAGTCAGCGAAGAGATGTGAAACCAATGGGGAAGCAGTAGAAAGAAAAACAATGCGCGGGTGGTTATCTGTCTCTGAGTGCAGACAATTAACTTTGGGGGTGTATGTAGGAGAAAAAGATGACACCCCCTCATTCTGCACCTAGGAAGTAAACAATGTGTATTACAGTATTGAAACAGGATCTCTGCCAACTTTGGGTGAAAATGCTGCAGAGGTCTTCGGGTGAGATAAACTTCTTTAGACAGGTGGCTAACCTGATAGTTAAGTTTAGTCTCTAGAAAGCGCATGATGATTGTTTTATGTGTAACCATTTGTTTTCAATATCCTTACTCACTATCTCCTGGACCTCTAGCCTTTGATAATAAACTTATTCTTGGTTTCACTATAAATATAGCCGTGTTGTTGC